CACAGGACAGGCCCCCATCCCCAGTGGCAATTATCCAGCGCACATGTCAGAGCAAGGTGTCCCTCCACCCCGTTAGAGTTTACCAGATGCCTAGGAGCTCTAACAGCTGGGTAGATTATACTTTTTCTCCCTGTCATTCCTGATTTAAAAAAAAAAAAAATCAGCTGAATAATAAAATCTGACCATTTTATACCAATTGAGTGATGGTGAATCTCTCAATAGAAGTCACATGACATTGGATGCTCACCAACTTTTCTCACGACAATCCTATGAAGGAGTTAAGGAATTTTAAAAGCAATTTGCTGCATCACAATGCACTTTTTTTTCTTTTCTTTCTTTCTTTTTTTTTTTTTTTAAGTAAATGGAACAGGAAATAATAGAAAATATAAGGAGCCAGCAGCCTTGTCTGGGTTCTACTATGCAGTCGAAGAAAACGGGCCGGGCGGGGGCAATGTATTGGGACCTGGGCCCAAGTCCATTTGTTGTGAAGACAATGCCTGGGCCAACACCAGGTGCTCAGCCTGGGCGCTCCATGAGATCAAAACACGGAAGAGTTGCTCACACGCTCACGAGCAGGTATCTGCCTTCTCCTCACATGGGGCCAGGCACAGGTGGTACCCGACACACAGACTGGCAGGAAGTCAGGAACACAATCCCCTCACTCTGCATTCCAACCTGACCAAGGCGGCTCTTCCTTTCAACCAGCAGAGTTCCCCACACACAGTGAGAGGACGAGCCGATAATGGCCTCTCCCAGAAAATTACTTTCTTGCTCAACCCACCTGTCACAACATCAGAGCGAGGCACGCTACCGTGGGGTCTTTCTAAGCCATGTCCTCCACTTCCTCCCTCTGAGTCAGTTAAGGTAATGAGTTGCTGTTTCTGAACTTTCAAAAAATTAACTTGAGGTGTGTCCCCAATTTTGAAGTGCCTAACTGCAGTCTGTGGAAATAAAGTTGATTCAAGGTCAGCCATGCGCTCAGGGGAAAAAGGTCACACAGCCACATTCCATGGATCTTTGCTCACTCCCAGGGTCCAGCTCTTTGACAGCTGAGGAGACCTGCTACAGAGGGCAGAAATCCATGACTTAAAATGGGATCTTGGAAAATGTCTTTTGTTCGAAGAATCCATGTCCAAAATATTTTTAAACTTTTATGGCTCTGGTTGAGCCAATCTGCTCAAAAACAAAGAAATATTTCTATGAACTAAGCTTCCCTTCAGCTCCTTTTCCGTCCTGGTCAGAGGTGCTGGCATCTGGCTAGTCGTGTCGGACTCAGGATGTAAGAGGTGGCTGACCCCATAGCCAGCACTCCTCTCCAGGCTCAGGAGCCCGAGCATCCCAGCAAAGACCACGTTCCAGAGGCGGAGTGGCCACAAGGGGTGGTTTAGGATGGATGCTTTACTCTGTTCGTCCTTATGCACTTTTCCTTTAAGACTCTGATCACGTGGTGTCCCTTTCCCCAGAGCAGACCTGGGGACTCACATCACATGGAGGACAGGCCATTCTACCGCCTCAGATGTCAAAAAAGCCGGTGGGCAACAGACCAGGCATCGTGCTCAGAAACTCTGGGACCAGACCAGACATCCTGTGAACACAACCAAGCCCAGAGCAGCACAAGTAACCCAAATACTGAGCCACATAGAGAGAACTATTAAAAATAAACTTCCCAATGGGCTTGCACCTGTCCACACACAAAGAGGGAGAAGGAAGGAGGAGGGAAGGGACAAGGGGGGTGGCGGCGGAGAAGCAGCTGAAGCAGCTACTGAACGGAGGGCCCCGATCTGTGCTAGGACAGGCTCCTCACTCAGGAGCGAGGCTGGGTGACCCATAGAGAGCGTCCGCCTGCCAACACGGGCTCTGAAGAGACGGGTGATCGGGAGTGAGCAGTGAGACTCAGCTTCCAGGACACATGTGAAATAAGAGGCTCACCCCTCAGAAAGTGACTTCCCATGAGTATGTGCTCTCAGGAAAAACGCCAGTCCAAAGGAGAGGAAGGGGGCCTTCTATGCCTTAGAAAATTCAGAAAACACCCCGCCCCGGTCGCGTGCACTCCCTGCTCTGTGCTGGGGTTCACAGACACCCAACCCAGCACTCCGGTCCCAGGGGCTTGAGGCGGCGCCTGCACAGAGCACTTTCCCCAGGGCGCTCCACAGCCTGCCGCACTCCAGGGTCTCCGCCAGCTCTGAAAGGCTTGCCATTTATTGCACATTTGAGAGCCCTGATAATGACTGAAAGACACTGTTCCTATTGGCTCAGTCAAGGAGAAGCACTGAGAATAAAGTCAGAGCCCTCAAGACTTTTCTCACCAAAAAGTAATCCTTTCTTCCATGAAATGTTCTGTCACTTAAAATAAGGGCAGATGGTTATTCTACTAAATTCTTGCTAATCAGTGTCACAGTAAGTCACACGTAACCAATCATGTTTCTAGAAAACTGCCCCAAATCCTGATGCTTTTCTGCTTCTAAGGGACACTGCAAGGAAACACCAGTGAAATGGACTGACAGTGCAACTGCCTACCACATGCCAGGACGAGAGAGCTGGGGAAGGAGGCACCCTGTTACAATGAAAGCCCAATGGGGCCCAGGCCTCCAGGCCCCCCTCGGCCAGGCCCCTGCCCACCCCCACACAGGGGTCAACAAACTCCAGATGGGGCAGACCCAATCAGCTCCCTCACTAGGAGTGTTGTCTATGTTTTAAAACAGTTCAAAGAAGGAACGACGAAAACAAAAAGAATTATTTCGAGACGTGGTAATGACATGAAATCCAAGTTGCAGGGTCCATAAAGTTTTACTGACGCATGGGCACGGCTGTTTGTTTGCATGTGTCTCTCTGGCAGCTTCCAAGCTACAAGGCACAGGTGCAGAGTGGGGACAGGAACCGTGTGGCCTGAAATATGAACTATCTGTTCCTTTACAAAGCCTGCTGACCCCCATCCTAGCACATGCCAGCTCACACGGTGGCACCTGCTGCTGCCTCTGTATGGAAGTCACCCTTGGCCCCTTGGGTCCTGCCCCGAGTGCCACTTGTCGGTGTGGCCTTTCCCAAGTGCTCTATCTATTATAGAGACAATCAGCCCAGTGTCACCTGTATGCCTCCAGTGTCATTCATACCTGAAAGTGTTTTGTTTATTTACTTATGCACTGTCTTTCCAGAAGAACCTACATTTCCTAAGGGTGGCCCCGGTTGTGGTGCCCTCTGCTATGTCCCTAGTACCGGCACGGTACTAGTGAACTGTGTGACACCAAAGTCAGCTCAGGCCCTGGTCTCCTGCCCCCTGGATCCAGGCAGAGGACACACCTGGCTTAGGCATCATGGCGTAGTTTGTGAGTTGTAAGACAAGTAACCAAATAACACCTGTTACGCTTTCCAAAGGTTTGGGAGGTAATAAATAACTAAACTGAGCTGTAAGTTAGGAACGTGACATGTTTTATGCCAAAAGGAAGGGGAGCAAACAGTGTCGACCAGCTCATGGCTTCCGGGCTGAGTGACAGGTGCCCGGGCCTGCTTTGATCCTCCCGCCTTCGTCTGTTCACTGCCTGTCACGGGGGCCTGGCATTTCAGCGGGATTCAGCTGATTAAAACATAACCTCATGTCTGTATATAGAAACATCTTTAAACACTAATTAAAAATAACCGGCTGGCATTTGTAAACAAAAATATAAGAGCTGAAATAAACAGCACATCTGATCTATGTCTTCTGAAGATATAGGTGTCTTCTCTGAAGGTTTTCAATTTACTCCTGAATTTACTGAATTTTAAAATGTAAAACAATGATCCTTTCCAAGTTACTCAGCTGGTTTGAGCGTTGTCTCAATACACCAAAAGGCTATGGGTTCGATTCCCAGTCAGGGCACATATCTAGATTTTGGGTTCAATCCCTGATTGGGGTGCGAACAGGAGACAACAGATTGATGTTTCTCTCTCTCTTCCCCTCCCTTCCTCCCTCTCTTAAAAAAAAGATCAATGAAAACATGTCCTTGGGTAAGGATTAAAAAAAAAAAGCAAAGCTATGTCCAACTTGTTTAATCTAATAATAAGCTATATTTTCTCCATTTACCCTGTTTTAATGATTGTGAAATTAATTTTAATAGCATTTTATTTAACCCAAAATATCATTTTGACAGTTCAACCAACAAGAAGAAATTACTAACAGGATATTTTGCTTTTTTTTTTTTCACGCTACGTCTTTAGTTTCCACTGTTCCTTTCACCCAGAGCCACAGATCAGGGATCAACAGCCATGTGTGCCTGATGGGCAACCCTGAAAAACTGCAGTTTTTAAATGCTCAGTTATTTTCATCTGAACACAAACCAAACTTACTTGCATTTTAGGAGTTTTACACAAAAGAACTTTTCTTGTATTTTACTTAAGATGACTAAATACAATAATTATTTTATAGACAAAAACCCTTGGCACTCATCTTAGGATTCACAGTGTATTCTTTACAAGAAGCTAAAAGTTATTACGAACCACATCAGATTGCTTTCCCACAAGCATCCAATTTTGCTTTTCAACCCACAGCTGTTAGATTTCATTTTCATTTCCGTTACACATGGTTCCCTCCTTGTCCTGGCTGAAGGCGACCGCGCAGCTCTGGCAAACGGGCCTCCCATTTCCCCACAAGCAGCAGGATGGCGCCACCAGCCTGCAAAGCTGACCTGCCCCAGTCTCTAACTCAGAAGCACCCCACCCTGCCTCGCACATTCCTTTAGGAGAACTGTCCCTCCTTAAGGTTTAAAGAGGGAAAACCTGGTAATAAGCAGGTCCCAGGGGCCCTGCTGGAGGGAGCCTGACCAGGGAGCAGCTTCCACTTGGCTGTAAGGGTCTGCTCTTCACTCACAGCCACACAGTAGGGGAGGCGGGGACACACACACACACACACACACACACACACGCACTGCTGATGGAAATCACAATGCAGTTCCACAGTCTGGGAAGCTCCGGACCACTCTGTTCACAACATGAGGGCCCACTGTTTACGCTGAGGGCAGTCCTGTTACCTCTGCATCCTGCTGGGAGAGGCAGTATGTCCTTTCGAGGCTCCGCAGAGTTCTGGGGTTCAGGGTCTTCTGCTCCAACAGATGCTCCAGAAGTAAGACCAGCTGGTCCGGAAGGAGCTGAGGGCACACCAAATAGCCAGTGAAAATGCCATTCAGCTTACAAGGAATAAAACACAGACATTTAGAACAAAGACAGCAAGCCCAGGGCGGCCAGGTATTCAGCAAGTGTCAGAGGACGGGAAGCTCCAACACAGACTCTGGCCGACCTCTGGACTTACCTTGTACCCTCAGAACAGAGCAAACCTTATGTACCTTTTTTAGGTTGTGTGTTTAAGGTGTACAATGTGATGATTTTAATATACAGACACTGTGAAATGACAAAAACGATATTTATCTACATAAAATATCCTCATGGTTAATTAGATCCCTTTCTTTATGGCAAACATATGCCAAAAATATCATTTAACCTAGACCAAGATTCCAGAAAACTCCTGATCTTAGGCATGGAAGTTTAACAGAAGTAAGCCGCTTTCGGAGTTTCTTTCTCACCACTGGAACCTTGCCAATGTGTACCAAGAAATGGAGAGCATGTCTCACAAACACTCCCTTATAAAAATCATGTTTATTATTCCATTAAAATTTTTTAAAATGTTGTAAATATGATCACACACACACAGTCACCCATATTCCTAAATTTTCACACAGGGTAGGTAAAAATTGGTGTTACATAGTAAAGGACAGAGAGGAGGGCGTTTTTATATGGTACAAAAGTAATTAACGGTTTATGAACAAACACTGTGAATCCAAGAAGGTAGAGTATCTGTCTTAGTCATGATTGTGCTACAATGCCTAGTTTCGCCTCTAGAGCAGAGAGCTCTCACACACTATAAAAGGAGGAAAGAATGCATTTTAAATACATTTTGTAGGAGCTGAAAAATATTCTAGAACCGAGGTTTTAATATTATTACTATGAATGCCACTACTCTCGCCATTCAGCCTTACTCCCTCCCGACTTATGCCCTGAGCATCTGTTACTGAGCCCAAACCTACAAGTCTGCAAATCCATGCTAGGCCAACAGAACATTCACAAGAACACTGGCTGCCAGCTAGAGCCTTCCTTCGTTTTGTTATTCTTAAGAAATTTTAAATATTATTGGCATCTCTCCCCACCTCTCGTTACCTTTCTGCCCCCAAGTATGCACTCTGCTTGCCCCCCTCCCCACTTCCCCAGAATGCACATGGGGAAACCAGGTGAACTGCAGGTACAACGCTCACCACGAAATTCCACAAAGAAAGCATGTTTTGTATGTCCACACCCCACCCTCCTAAGTTCTATTATAACCCCTCTTCCCCACAGGCACACCATGGCTTCTTGGGCATTTTTCCTTCATAACATCGCTTCATGCACCTACGACCCTGTGGACCGCCTCCAGCTGACAGGAGGAATCAGGGGCCCTCAGCTAACAGAGAGTTTCAACCAACACGAAGCCCCCAAGGACTTGGAGACAACTGACAATTTCCTTCCAGGGGAGTCACGTGCCTATAAGGTACTTTAAAATAACACATATATATACACACATATATATGGCTAACATGTAATATGTCCCCTCAGGAGATTGACTGCTCGCTATGACACGCACTGACTACCAGAGAATGGTACAAAACGAAGGAAGGCTCTAGCTGGCAGCCGGAAGGCCCCAATCAGCCCTGAATGCTGGCCAGGCCTATCTGTGCACAAATTTTGTGCACCGGGCCTCTAGTTACTACATAACAACCAGAAACAAAAAATGTCAGTTTTCCATTTTAGAACATGAGCCCACTTTTTACAATATTAAGAGAAATCTGCAGTTTTTCAAAACAGGATAAATCCAGGACCACCAGCCTCTGGAGCCTCCTGACCCGGTCACAGCACGAGCCCGTGGCTGGTGGGTAGTCAGGGTGCTCTACCCCAGGCTCGGCAGCTCGGCCAGCACCCAGGCTGCCTGGCCCTCCTTCCTGTCAATAGTGCCCTGCAGCCTCCTTCTCTGGATCTTCCTTCCTTGAGGTCTCTAGGGACGGGAGGGGTTCATCCAGCCTGACCCAGAGTGCCCCCTCAGGTCACTCCCTGGCTGCCCTCCAACCTCCTCACAGAGCTTGACCTTTATCGCCCACTAAAGTCTCTTCTACCTTAGTCATCCCTTTCCCAAGTATGGTCCACACAACCACTACCCTGAGGTGGCCTGGCATGGGCACCCCTGGAGCAGCAGCCCACCTGCCTCAATAAGTGGTGGAGAAGGGAGGAGAGGACAGGAACCCAGACTGGGTCAGAGTGGCTGCCCGGCCCAGCGCCCCCACAGCATTCTCAAAAGTGGTGCAGCCAAGCCCAGGGTAGCAAGAGCTCAAATGCTGAGGCCACACCGGATGCAGAAGATGGGTTCTGGGAAAGGGCAAGTACATCCAGTGGCTGGGGGTAGGGTCTGGTTCATTGAATAAACACAGCAGGAACCAGCTTGGACAACTGGCAGAATTATAGGGAAGACAGAGGAGAAAGAAAAGCACCCCGCCATTCTGTGTCCACACTTACAAACAGGCCTGTTGTTAGAACTCTCGTTGGGACTTGGTTTAAACTAGAGACCCACGGAGGAAAGAAGCCCCTGAGGAAGATGATTAGCTGAGTCCTTGACTTCACCTAACTGGGCTTAATCAATAAACCAATTCCAGTTTGAAATGGAAGAATCACGGCTATGTGAGCCCATGGAAACATCTGGAGTCACCTTTTATGTCTTATGGCCTTTCTCTAAGCAGAAGTCCGTGCATCTAGACACAGAGACCGAACAAAAGGATCCCTGAACTTGTCTGTCCTTTCCCGATTTTACACAATGGGAAACACTTAAAGCTAAGCCCCTGACTAAAGATAAACAGCTGAGATGGAACGGAGGAGGTTTTTAATAAGTTTAATTTGCTCTAATTAGAGAGAGGTAAAGATCAGGCACGCACACAGCGCTCCAGGTACCCCTCCTGGGCACGGAGGCGCCACGGACTGCTTTGTGGCAAGAGCCGGCCTGTTCAGAGGTGGAAGGAGGCAGAGGACCCCACGCAGGCGTGAGAGTGGCCCTCCCTCCATAACCATAATGCCCCAGGGTTGCCCAGCCCACTCCAGAATGGGCTTGCGTAAGGGAGTCACTCTCAGTTAACAACCTGTAGTCACCTGCCTTTCAACTCCAACTCTTCTAATTTGCCAGGGAAAACAGTTTCTAAGCAACGAGAAAAACGGAGAAAAATCAGTGATCAAATATTTTAGTATCGACAATAAAACTAATTAAGTATCCTTCATTCACAAATGAGCAAGTAAACATTACACAATTTTTAGATTACAGACCTTAGAAGAGGATATTAAAGCAAAAGTGAGGTAAGTAGTTCATTTTAATAGAGGACATTTCTCTTTTAAAAATAATCATTTACTCCCTGTAAAAACACCATATGATTGAAAAAAAATACTATGTAATAAACCTAAAGTTTGCAAAGCAACTGAGAGATGCACTTCCAATGTGCTCGGATGGTGCAGTGGGAACGGGAAATGTGTGGGTCATTCCCCTTCTCAGACACAGAAATCAAATTAAACGTCAAGTGACTTCTAGGCCCACTGTGTTTTAGTATAGCAGTTCTGAGAGGAACATGGCTTTAGTCACAGTACAAAGTGATTAGAAAAATACTGTACACGGTTCAGAGCATGATCTCATTAGAAAGCAGCTCCGTCAAACATTATAAAAAGAACTTGCCTTTATTTCTGAAGGCCTATTGGTGCTCACAGCCACAGTTCGACAGAAACGGGAGTAGAAAGTCCTTTCCTTTGCACAAACAAGGAGTTATTATTTTTTCCACATGGAAACCAGTTTGGTATTTTTAAAATGCATCTGCCTCAACACTTAGACAAAACAAGGCTACGAGGTGCCAAAGTCATGTGGGTACTTGAAATAGAGAATTCCACAACACTGTAAAGCTTATTCAAATACAAAAAAAAAAAAAAAACCCCACCAAAATACTAAAGGAGTCAGGCAGTGCAAATGCCATTTGTTACGGATTTAGTGGTCTGTATTCTTGCGCTGAAGGAGGAGGAGTCCATAGTTGCTAACTGTCCGGAAATTTACAAAGCAAAAGAAAAGTCTACCTGGTATTTTCCCCAGTCAACTTAAGAACTGAGGCAAGCCACACAACTGAATAGCTTTTGAAGTATCTAGACTCTTGGAAAGAAAATATGAATTTTCCAAGCCCACCCTCCCAGTCTACAAGCAGCAAAAAAGAGCACACCCTGACTCCTCCAGAAGCCCCTTCCTGCTGTCAGGGACGCCACTCACTCCTGCTCCCAGAAGGACCACCCATGCGACTGGCCCTCTGCCGCTCCTTCCATTAGCAGGATCCGAAAGGCCAGCTCGCTTCCCGTAGAAAAGGTCACCGATGCATCTCACACTGACCTTGTGCAGGCAGGTCCCGACCCAAGGAAGGGGGTGCACAACATCTGAGCCCCACTGTCCACCCTCCTCCAGAGACACCGGAGGGCACCTCCCGCAAGGCCCAGCCGTCGCAGGCGGCAGCGAAGGAAGTCTCTGAGCGGCTCCCAGACAAGGAAGGAGCCTGAGACTAATGCAGCCTCGACCCACAGTGGCGTGAGTTCTATTATTACCCCATTATCACTCTGGGATCTGTGCCTAAATGAAGCATGCTTCCTCCCTGATGCCATTTCCTTTTATCCTGGCTGGAGACTAAAAGCGGATCAATGGGGGCAATACTTATGATGTCACTGCAATTTACAGCAACGGCCCCTCCCTCTCTTTCAGTCTGTCTGAAATACACACAAAGATCAATTCTTCCCAAAAATGGTTAAAAAATGCTTAGGGAGCATTCTTCTTCCAGAAAAGCATTCTCTGCTATATTTGTCTATGTTTCTACGGCAGGAACTGTTTACACTGAACAAAAAGAGAAGAAATGGGGGAGGGAGAAATCTCAAATTCTCCCGTATGCCGGAGACTTGCTGGCTGAAATTCAACACAAGCAGGGTCCAAACCAGACTCAAGCGGCTGGCCTCTGAGAGTCCCATGCGGAAGGTTTTCTGGCACAGGGGGCAATAGAGAGCGCAGTTC